GCATTCACATCGGAGATGGTTCCTGGTGTGAAGGCCTATGTGCGTATGGCTCAAGAGGAATGTGTCAATATTGAAGAATTTGTCGAGAAGGCCAACTTGGAGCCCAAACTGAAAGAAGAAGTAGCCAAGATTGGCATGATGGTAAAACATGGGGTGATGGCCCAGGATGTCATTACTCTCATGGAAGCTGGTGAATTTTCCCAGCTTATGAAAGAAGAAGCTCAGGCCAAACTTTTGACCGTTGTCGAAGAATTTGGTTTTAAGGCACTTGTAAACCAGATTATGACTGAACAAGTAGAACAGGCTATCCAAAAGACTGATAAAACCATTGGAGTCAAGACTTTCATGCGCATGTTGGAGCAAGCTGATGTTGATGTAGAGGAAATAATAACAGAGCAATTCCCTAAGGAATTTGACTCTGAAACACAAGTGCCAATATCTCAAGAAATAGCCAAAGTTAGTGTTATGCTCAAGGAAGGTATTCAGGCTCAAGAAATTATATCTATGATAGAGGCTGGAGACTTACCAAATTTGAATCGTCCTGAAACTCAGATGCCTCTCATTCACATGGTTGAAGAACAGGGACACACTGCGATAATCTGCCAGGTTCTGATTGAAGATTCAGTCAGAGACATCATACAAGGTGATAATAAGCTTACAATTTAAGTAGCGCCTTGCATAGTCTGCAGCTGAGTGTGCAGCCATAGCTCCAAACATAGAAAAGTATTAGCTCACGAATTTTGAATAATAAATTGAAGCTGACGGGCTACAAAAATTAGTAATTGCAGATTTTACAAAAAAAAAAAAAAAAAAATAATAATAATAATAAAATAAATGTAGATTATGAATTAAAATCCATTATAAAATATCATAACATAGAAGCATGTATACTAACACTTTTAAACAATAACTATGCACATTTGTAAGATTTATTTCTGCTAAGTTTATTTCTGTTCTAACTTAATTTTAACCAAATACTATTACTTTTGCTTCTACATCTACTCAGAGGACAAAGTAGACAAATTAAGTATATTTTTTCAATTTTTCACACACAAAATTTTTAAATATCCCTTAAACAAATCTGTAATGTAATGTATTTTTTAGTATCCTTTTTAAAAAAGTATTAAGACAAAACTTGTTATGTTATACACAAACAGATTTTTTTATATGTACAGTTTAAAACCCCTATATTTAAAATATAGATCATATACTGTAGTTAAATAGTTTAACCCCCCTAAAAAATAACATTCAAACTGCTCAACATTATCAGATGAGTTGCTGTTAAATAAAATCACTGAAAGTTAAGAAAGATAAATTTTTCAGAACTTCCCAAGGTAGACGTAGCCAACTATATCATCTTTTTGAGATACTTCAGTCGGCATCTTTCAAATTTTATATAATGCAGAGAATCGTATTTTGGAAGTTAGGAGGAGTGCGGGATTCCCAAAACGTTGCCCCAGAGGGTGAGGAAGGGGTTGTTGAGGTGGTTCGGACATGTAGAGAGAATGGAGCGAAACAGAATGACTTCAAGGTGTATCAGGTCTGTAGTGGAAGGAAGGCGGGATAGGGGTCGGCCTAGGAAAGGTTGGAGAGAGGGGGTAAAGGAGGTTTTGTGTGCGAGGGGCTTGGACTTCCAGCAGGCATGCGTGAGCGTGTTTGATAGGAGTGAATGGAGACAAATGGTTTTTAATACTTGACGTGCTGTTGGAGTGTGAGCAAAGTAACATTTATGAAGGGGTTCAGGGAAACCGGCAGGCGGACTTGAGTCCTGGAGATGGGAAGTACAGTGCCTGCACTCTGAGGAGGTGGTGTTAATGTTGCAGTTTAAAAACTGTAGTGTAAAGCACCCTTCTGGCAAGACAGTGATGGAGTGAATGATGGTGAAAGTTTTTCTTTTTCGGGCCACCCTGCCTTGGTGGGAATCGGCCAGTGTGATAATAAAAAAAAAAAATAATATATATATATATATATTTTTTTTTTTTTTTTTTTTTTTCAACAAGTCGGTCGTCTCCCACCGAGGCAGGGTGACCCAAAAAAGAAAGAAAATCCCCAAAAAGAAAATACTTTCATCATCATTCAACACTTTCACCACACTCACACATTATTACTGCTTTTGCAGAGGTGCTCAAAATACAACAGTTTAGAAGCATATACGTATAAAGATACACAACATATCCCTCCAAACTGCCAATATCCCAAACCACTCCTTTAAAGTGCAGGCATTGTACTTCCATTTCCAGGACTCAAGTCCGGACTATATGAAAATAACCGGTTTCCCTGAATCCCTTCACTAAATATTACCCTGCTCACACTCCAACAGATCGTCAGGTCCCAAGTATCATTTGTCTCCATTCACTCCTATCTAACACGCTCATGCACGCTTGCTGGAAGTCCAAGCCCCTCGCCCACAAAACCTCCTTTACCCCCTCTTTCCAACCCTTTCGAGGACGACCCTACCCCTCTTTCCTTCCCCTATAGATTTATATGCTTTCCATGTCATTCTACTTTGATCCATTCTCTCTAAATGACCAAACCACCTCAACAACCCCTCTTCTGCCCTCTGACTAATGCTTTTATTAACTCCACACCTTCTCCTAATTTCCACACTCCGAATTTTCTAAATAATATTTACACCACACATTGCCCTTAGACAGGACATCTGCACTGCCTCCAACCGTCTCCTCGCTGCTGCATTTACCACCCAAGCTTCACATCCATATAAGAGTTTTGGTACTACTATACTTTCATACATTCCCTTCTTTGCCTCCATAGATAACGTTTTTTGACTCCACATATACCTCAACGCACCACTCACGTTTTTTCCCTCATCAATTCTATGATTAACCTCATCCTTCATAAATCCATCCGCCGACACGTCAACTCCCAAGTATCTGAAAACATTCACTTCTTCCATACTCCTCCTCCCCAATTTGATATCCAATTTTTCTTTATCTAAATCATTTGATACCCTCATCACCTTACTCTTTTCTATGTTCACTTTCAACTTTCTACCTTTACACACATTCTCAAACTCATCCACTAACCTTTGCAATTTTTCTTTAGAATCTCCCATAAGCACAGTATCATCAGCAAAGAGTAACTGTGTCAATTCCCATTTTGAAATTGATTCCCCATAATTTAATCCCACCCCTCTCCCGAACACCCTAGCATTTACTTCTTTTACAACCCCATCTATAAATATATTAACCCTTTGAGGGTCGACAGGCCCTCTCCGAAACTCGTTCTCAGGGTCGGCCAAATTTAAAAAAAAAAAAATTATTTTCTCTTATGAAAAGATAGAGAATCTTTTCCCGATCATAACGACACCAAAAGTTTGAAATTTGATAGAAAACTTACGGAATTATGCTCTCGCAAAGTTAGCGGTCTCGGCGATGTTTACGCATCGGCGATTTTGCCCACTTTGAGCCCCATTTTCGGCCAATTTCACTGTACTAGTCGACAAAAAACATGAATATTTCGCTAGAACTCCATTTTTTCTATCGAATGGGTGCAAGAACCCACCCATTTATAAATTCAACTATCCAGTACAGTGGTCAGAATTTAGCAATTTTGCCAATTTCACACAAATTTCAAAAGATGCCAATTTCGGAATAGGGTCCAGAATAAACAAGAAAGACATTCCTGGCACTAAAATGACATTTCCTCTAGTCATTAGTCACGTCTCAAGGCCCCTCTTATATTCTTTTGCTTTCCACTTTGAATTTTTATTCTCACAAAAAATATAAGATTTACTGTTATGCAGACTACTGCATTAGTGTAAAAAATGGTATAAATATTATTGGTGCACTTGTGAAAGAATATTAGACTCACCAGTTGACGTGTATTGCACGCTTGGCACGATTTGTTTACTTTGAAGTTTGGTAAAAATCGAACATTTCTGCTACTTTGAGCTCAATTTCAAGGCACCTTTCATTGTAAAACCAGTCAAAATCATCTCAATTTCAGTAATATGTCTTCCATTCTATAAAATGAGACCAAGAAAACTAGAATACAACAATAAATACCATACGAAAATACACTGCAAAGTCGCTGATTTATTAAAAAAAAATGGTCAAGTTTTTTTTTTCTCATTATGCACTGTGTGCTGCAGGATTTTTTTTAGACTGTGCACACTGACCACATAGACCCATTCTTTCATATAAAGGCCTACCAGTCTTTCTCCCACTAGATTTGAGGCCGCTAGAATTTATGAGTACTAGTACGTCAAAAACCCCTACGCGTAAGACGTACTAGTATGACGAAAACCCTCAAAGGGTTAACAACCATGGTGACATTACACATCCCTGTCTATGACCTACTTTTACCGGGAAGTATTCTCCCTCTCTTCTACACACCCTAACCTGAGCCTCACTATCCTCATAAAAGCTCTTTACAGCATTTTAGTAACTTACCACCTATTCCATAAACTTGCAACATTGCCACATTGCTCCTCTATCCACTCTATCATATGCCTTTTCTAATCCATAAATGCAATAAAAACTTCCCTACCTTTATCTAAATACTGTTCACATATATGCTTCAATGTAAAAACTTGATCTACACATCCCTACCCACTCTGAAGCCTCCTTGCTCATCCGCAATTCTACATTCTGTCTTACCTCTAATTCTTTCAATTATAACCTACCATATACTTTTCTGGTATACTCAGTAAATTTATTCCTCTAAAATTTTTACAATCTCTTTTGTCCCCTTTCCCTTTATATAAAGGGACTATACATGCTCTCTGCCAATCCCTAGGTTACCTTCCCCTCTTTCATACATTTATTAAACAAAAGTACCAACCACTCCAACACTATATCCCCCCCTGCTTTTAACATTTCTGTCATGATCCCATCAGTTCCAGCTGCTTTACCCCCTTTCATTCTACGTAATGCCTCAAGTACCTCCACCACACTTACATTCTGCTCTTCTTCACTCCTAAAAGATGGTATACCTCCCTGGCCAGTGCATGAAATTACGCCTCCCTTTCTTCCTCAACATTTAAAAGTTCCTCAAAATATTCTCGCCATCTACCTAATACCTCCCTCTCCCCATTACTAACTCCCCTACTCTGTTTTTAACGGACAAATCCATACTTTCCCTAGCTTTCTTAACTTGTTTAACTCACTCCAAAATTTTTCTTATTTTCATTAAAATTTCTTGACAGTGCCTCTCCCACTCTTTCATCTGCTCTCCTTTTGCACTCTCTCACCACTCTCTTCACCTTTCTTTTACTCTCCGTATACTCTGTCTTCTTAAAACACTTCTGCTTTGTAAAAACCTCTTGTAAGCTACATTTTTCTCTTTATCACACCCTTTACTTCATCATTCCACCAATCACTCCTCTTTCCTCCTGCCCCCACCTCCTATAACCACAAACTTTGCCCCACATTCTAATACTGCATCTTTAAAAACTATTCCAACCTCTTCAACCCCCCCACTACTCATCTTTGCACTAGCCCACCTTTCTGCCAATAGTCGCTTATATCTCGCCCGAACTTCCTCCTCCCTTAGTTTATACACTTTCACCTCCCTCTTACTTGTTGTTGCCACCTTCCTCTTTTCCCATCTACCTCTTACTCTAACTGCAGCTACAATTAAATAATGATCTGATATATCAGTTGCCCCTCTATAAACATGTACATCCTGGAGCCTACCCATCAACCTTTTATCCACCAATACATAATCTAACAAACTACTTTCATTACGTGCTACATCATACCTTGTATATTTATTTATCCTCTTTTTCATAAAATATGTATTACTTATTGCCAAATTTCTTTCTACACATAGCTCAATTAAAGGGTCCCCATTTACATTTACCCCTGGCACCCCAAATTTACCTACTACTCCCTCCATAACATTTATATATATATATATATATATATATATATATATTATATATATATATATATATATATATATATATATATTATATATATATATATATATATATATATATATATATTATATATATATATATATATATATAATAATATTATATATATATATCATACATACATACATGTACATACACATTGTACTGATTTATTCACAAAATATCACAACTTATGTATCTGGTGTATGGTTACAGAAATGTGTGTCCCGGGCTTTAAGGCTTTGATTCGCTTAGCAACAGACAATCAAATAGACCTTGAGACTGTTGAACTAAAACCTGCTGAGAAGGCAACATTTTCTAAAGATATTGCAAAGTTAAGCCTCTGCTTAAAGAAAGGTGTGCAAGTTAATGAATTAATGACCATGATGAAAGAAGGAGAGTTTGTTGCTCTTAAGCGTACAGAGCACCAGGCAAGACTTTTGGAAGTGGCAAACCATCTTGAGAGTGCCATAGTACAACAAGTATTGGTACAGGAAGCTAAAGACAGATGCGATAGTAATATTGGGATCAAATCTGTAATGCGCACAATTGAGACTGGCAAAGAATCAATGGAGCAAGTGATAATGGATGTTTCCAAGGAGTTTGGACCATCATCAGAACCTGTAAAGGAGATTGCTGCTATTGGTCATCTACTACAGGAAGGTGTAAAATGTAATGAAGTTATTTCATTGATTGAGTCTGGCTTATTGCCCAGTTTGATGAAGCCCCAAGCACAGGTGCCCCTTGTCTCAATAGTAGCTGATAAAGGTCACATTGGCACAATTTGTGAAGTATTAGCAACAGAATCAGTGAAGGAAATACAAAAGATTAAGCCAAAAGAAGAAGCTGCACGTATGTCTGAGGTGAAGGAATTGCTCAAGAAAGCCAAAACTGAAACTGTGGATGTAAAGAGTAAGTTTTGATTTCATCATCCTTGAATGTGGCTTATATCTCGAGAGAAAGCAGATTTTTCTATGATGAGAGAAACATTGACAGATTATATATAAGATACTTGTATGGAATTTAATATGTATTACTTACATATCTGATATGCCAGTATAGAATTATCAAAGTACCAGATACTTTATTATATGCCAGTATTACCAGTATCTATCTGGTTAATCATTTGTAAGTGATATATTTCTAATCCTAGATAATTATTATCAAGTTTTGCTGATAGGTTAAAGGGTTAAATTATTAAATATTTTCTTTGTTATTAGCTGGATGTCATTGATATCTTTGACATACATTAGTTAAATTATTCTTATTATTGAATGTAAAATACAGTACTGTATACAAAGTTGTTTGTAATACTCATATGCTGCATAGTACAGTACAGTGAACCCTCTCATTAATGGTCTGATAGGGGGAAAGGGGTGTATGATATTGCTGATTGTCCAAAGCATCCAAATTATGAAGTTAATTTTTCATTATCATCAGTTGTTTTCTGAACTAGCAGACTTGGTGTGCTGATGCAGAAGACAACTGGACACTAAGAGTATGGGTATTGTAACCTGTGGTATTACAGTACAGTTCTGCACTGTATAGAAATCTTATAGTATTGTATGTAGTTTACAATAATTTTACTTACCTTCTCGTAGTGTAGAGATGAGGGGTAAGCTGAAGCAATTGATAGTGCTGATTCAGAATAACTTTCCTCCTGAGTTAGAGCTGTAAAGCTCCACTTGCATCTACACTGGTCTAGTCTGTAAGATTATCTTTGTGTTGATGAATATCAGATGCTGTTTGTTTCTTAACATCATATTCCTCACATACCTGTGCCACTGAGACTCCAAACTCAACCTTCTTTATTAGTCTGAGTTTCTGCCTAACACTGAGAATCACACATTTCCTCATGGCACCACCACTTGCTGCAGAAGACATTGTTAACTGCACTTTACTTAATATATTAATAGAGACACACAAAACACTCTAAAACCAGGGAAGATTAGAGACTGAGCGATGAGGTTAAGTGTGAGTGCAAACAATGAACTGGCACGAGAACAATGAAAACAGGCAGGTGCTGTCTGTTTGTTCATTTCAGGCCAGTGGCTTGAACTAAACAAATGTCAGAGTCACTGAGCTTGGTCCAATACTTCAGAAGACAATGAGACACTATCACTATGGACAAAATCTGGAATTATAGACTTCAGTTCATTTTGTCTGGTTATCCAGTGTTTGTCCAGCCAATTTTTTGTGCAAAATCCCTTAATGAGAGGTTTTACTGTACATTCAAATGCAGTTAACTATAAATAAATTATGCCTTCTGCTTGTTTCATAGCTTTGTAGGTTTCTCTCCTAAATAATTGACTTAGCATTCTTTACCACACTTATCTTAATTAGTGCCTAATGTCCTCCCTCCCTCATCAAGCATTCACATCGGAGATGGTTCCTGGTGTGAAGGCCTATGTGCGTATGGCTCAAGAGGAATGTGTCAATATTGAAGAATTTGTCGAAAAAGGCCAACTTGGAGCCCAAACTGAAAGAAGAAGTAGCCAAGATTGGCATGATGGTAAAACATGGGGTGATGGCCCAGGATGTCATTACTCTCATGGAAGCTGGTGAATTTTCCCAGCTTATGAAAGAAGAAGCTCAGGCCAAACTTTTGACCGTTGTCGAAGAATTTGGTTTTAAGGCACTTGTAAACCAGATTATGACTGAACAAGTAGAACAGGCTATCCAAAAGACTGATAAAACCATTGGAGTCAAGACTTTCATGCGCATGTTGGAGCAAGCTGATGTTGATGTAGAGGAAATAATAACAGAGCAATTCCCTAAGGAATTTGACTCTGAAACACAAGTGCCAATATCTCAAGAAATAGCCAAAGTTAGTGTTATGCTCAAGGAAGGTATTCAGGCTCAAGAAATTATATCTATGATAGAGGCTGGAGACTTACCAAATTTGAATCGTCCTGAAACTCAGATGCCTCTCATTCACATGGTTGAAGAACAGGGACACACTGCGATAATCTGCCAGGTTCTGATTGAAGATTCAGTCAGAGACATCATACAAGGTGATAATAAGCTTACAATTTAAGTAGCGCCTTGCATAGTCTGCAGCTGAGTGTGCAGCCATAGCTCCAAACATAGAAAAGTATTAGCTCACGAATTTTGAATAATAAATTGAAGCTGACGGGCTACAAAAATTAGTAATTGCAGATTTTACAAAAAAAAAAAAAAAATAATAATAATAATAATAAAATAAATGTAGATTATGAATTAAAATCCATTATAAAATATCATAACATAGAAGCATGTATACTAACACTTTTAAACAATAACTATGCACATTTGTAAGATTTATTTCATGCTAAGTTTATTTCTGTTCTAACTTAATTTAACCAAATACTATTACTTTTGCTTCTACATCTACTCAGAGGACAAAGTAGACAAATTAAGTATATTTTTTTCAATTTACACACACAAAATTTTTAAATATCCCTTAACAAATCTGTAATGTAATGTATTTTTTAGTATCCTTTAAAACAGTATTAAGACAATACTTGTTATGTTATACACAAACAGATGTTTTTTATATGTACAGTAAACCACTATATTTAAAATATAGATCATATACTGTAGTTAAATAGTTTAACCCCATAAAAAATAACATTCAAACTGCTCAACATTATCAGATGAGTTGCTGTTAAATAAAATCACTGAAAGTTAAGAAAGATAAATTTTTCAGAACTTCCCAAGGTAGACGTAGCAACTATATCATCTGTTGAGATACTTCAGTCGGCATCTTCATCAAAGGTTGAAGTCAAAGGTAAATATATTTTAGTCATAAAATGATTATTAATCTTATGTTAAGAGATTTTTCAGGTATAAAAAAAGTGTTTGGTAAAATTTTTTTTGTTCTTGAACAGTGCTGCTGTAATTTTTTATTTGTTATTTATGGTTTGATATTTTGTTGTCAGAATATTCAGTAGAGAAAGCATGCCACAAAATCTTAAAGATAAATGGATAAATTTTACAATGAGTGAAGTTGGAATGTAGAAATAATAGGTATTACCACTATCAGTTGAGAAAAGGAAATTAGTTTGTGTTTTGTAATTTTGTTTAATGTGTGACTAACATTTTGAGGTAAATATAAATATGAATACAAACCTCCATATACCCTGGAAAATTTATAATGTAAAAATGTTTTCTTCATTTACAAACATTTTATTTTCATGAACAGAAAGCATGGAATCTAAGAGTAGAGTAGTATTACATTGTAATACATTTGTAACATGACTAGCTCTAGAAAATAATTGCTGAAGAGTGTAGATAACCTGCTGTGGTGTTAATTAGTAAGTGGTAGTAATAATGATTTATGTTTTTAACAGTAACCTCCGGATGTACTTCTGAGCCGACATAATCCCACTCCCTGCATCATACCTCATCACCTTTGCCCTACATTATGTCTGTGTATATGTGCATGTCTTTAGTGCCATTCACTTCACCAAGATCCATTATTACACTCATTAAAAAATTATGCTTTATCTTAGTCTTCTCCAAAAGATGTGGAGATGATTAGTGGCTGAAATATGTCTTTGCCTTGGAAGCATTACTCAAAACTGAAAGGAAGAATGTATTCCCCCACCCCCCCTTCACTTAATTTTTTTTTTATTATACCTATACTACTCACATTGCCATACCTCTTGGTTGTCTCCGTCATTTTCTCCACCTCCATTGTAGCCTTTCACTAAATAGTTTTCTTAGTCATTTGCTTTCAAATTTTTTTTTATGTACTTATGTTATGTCATGTTTCCTTCATCCTTCTTTCTTCTTTCTCACTTGCATATGATATTGAAACAATTCTCATTGTTTTGGCACATTCTTGTTGCTCAGTAGAACTTCCTGTCAAAGATATGTATCAAAAATAAGTAAAACAGCATCGGTTTAACACACAGCATGATGCACAAGTATAATTTGGCCATGTTTTTTATTCAACATGATTTAATGGCTTTACCATGATCTGGATATGAATGGCACTTTTGGCATTTATGAAATGTTAATTCTCTGACTGTTTTTGTGATGCTCCTGATGATAAATAGTTTTGATCTAGTGGATCTATCTATTAAATAATCCAGCAGTGTTTGTTTGCTTTGGAATGGTAGCATCTTTTTAAGGCAGATGGCATATTAGTTCATATACATTGACTTCCATTTGATCTGATAGTAAATCTTTTATCTTTTGACTGTATAATAATACAGTACTACTAAAAACAATTATGTCAGAATTGCTATAGTAGAAGATTATTACCTCTTGAACAAGAATTTTTTAAATAAACTTTAACAAGTACAGGCATACCTCATTAATATGGAGGGATAGGTTCAAGACTGCCACCATAAAGCCAATATTGCCTTAAAGCAAATCATAGGCTTTTTTTCACTTGCCAGTACATATAAAATCCCAATAACATGTTTACACTATCATTTATTATGTGCACAATAGTGCTAGACCTAAAAAATGATGCAAAAGCAAAAATAATAAATAAAAAAATGCTACTTTACTGTATTACTAGCCTGATGTGTACATCACTACCATAAATAATAATCATGAATATAATTGAAAAGCACCATATTTGTGAAGCACTCTAAAGTGAAGTGCCGTATTAGTGAGGTATTCCAATATTCTGTTAACATGTTGTATAAGTGAACAGAAATAATCCTGGGGTGTAAAACAGTAAAATTTTAATAAATGGCGAAAGCTAATGATGAAATTTCTGCAATTTATCTCAACAATATTCTCAATGAGATTAGTTTACATACAGTATAAGTAAAATAATCTCTCCATGTCCTCCAGTAGGATTACTCTGATCTCTGTCTCTGGTGCTTATATACTGTAATATGTTTTGTTGACAAAATGGCTTGTGATGAACCTTCATAAAGATATTGTTGGCTGATGTAATATAGCTCTTATGTTGTACTTGTGTAGTGCTAATGTGGTGACTTGTGTAGTGGGACAGTATGGATGCACAGTACCTTGTCCTGTGTAAATGTGTTGTACCTTAAAAATCGTACTGGTAGTCTTACATTTGTTTGTGTTTTAATAATGCATGTTTGCACCTATTATTACTGAGTGATATTAATTATGGTTTCCTTTTCTCATGTACTATAGAGTTTTATATATTTATTTTTGTATCTTATAAATATCATGTATGTTTAGTTTGTATGGTATTTGTAACATAACACATGGTTTATGATTTTTTTTTTAATAAAAATAAATAAAAAATATGAAGATGTTTACCTTATGGCTTATATGAAGAAAAATAAGGTAAGTTTCATAGTTATTAATATGAACAACAGTGGTATGATAATGGACTATACATGGGTAAGACAGCTACATAAAAATATGTGAAAATCATACATGTAAAAGACTTTTCACTTAGGTTAAATTTCAGGGTAAATGTATGAAATGCATCTTGTAATTTATTATGAATGAATAATCGAGTAGAAATACTGTGCATGTATTATTACATAAACCCTTTTGAGGACACAACCATATTAACTCATTTCCTACTTATAAATGTATTTACCAATTGGTAAAAGAGGATTTCTTATCCATAATTAATAAACTTCATTTCCAGCTAAGGAAAGCCGGGAAATCCAGAAGATGATTGAATCCACTCAAGGTTGGCACAAAGATTTTGGTTAGATTTAAAAAGTAACAACAAAAACATAATAAGCTGGTATTATATTAACTGGTAAATTAACGAAAAATTAACCAAAGAAAATTATCCAGCCACAAAACAGCCAGCACTGATGATGTAGAAGATGCATTATCACAAATTGTAACAATGTTACCAATGCAATCAACAATACACTTTAACCTTATGCTGTAATATTTTCCTGAAAATTATAAAAACAAGTATATTTAGAGCTGTGGGCACTGCTAACTGCAATGTAATATTAAAAGGCTAACTAACATCCTAACTCCAGTATAACAAAGTAATACCTGCAGCTGTTAATTGACATCCTGTTCATGTCAGTATGATTGCAATGCTTTCATTAAATTAGGCTTTTAGTGTAGGTAATATCACAACTAAGAGACCAGTTTCAGCAAATCAAAAGAAATTTTAATACAGTATCACATAATTATTAAAAAACACTAAATAACTTAGAATATTCAATTTCAGAACAAAACTATAGACTAACAAATGAATGATACTAATTTAATAACCTATAACTTCTTTTGGAAATTCAAGATTTTATCATGATGTTTGTAATTAACGTAAAGTAAATTATATATACAGTAGATACAATAGTCAAGTTTCATTTAATGTACTAGTTTGTCTTAAATATTAATAGAACTGTACTTAAAAATAGTGTACTAGATATAAGGCAGTCTGTGATTTAGAAAGAACTAGAATTCAATACCATTCATTTGCAGCTGCCCTACAGATAAATATACATTTATACACATCTACAAAGCACACGCCTTCCCTTAATAACCCATTTTGGATTTCAGCTGGTTTGGCTTCTACTTAATATTTTAAAGTGATTTTTCATTCTGAGAAAAGTGGTGTTTGTATGTATGACAATTTAAACGTATATAATATCTTGATAAAAAACCAGGAGAGGAAAATGAACATTGCATCATCAAGAGACACAGAAGAGACAAAGAAACAACCAACAAAACAAGTCTGCACATATGGAAAAGAAATACTAATGATATGGCTGTTATCAGTTAGCCATAAAGAAACATGCATTTTTGTTATTCCAGTTATTTTTTGCAGCTTCCTTTTGGCTGGCACTGACCAATTTGGAAGGCAGCAAATATTTTCTGATTAATTATATTATGCTACTCTTCAGGCATGGCTTAATCTCAGTGATTTTTTTTTTTAATTCTCACTGACATTTTGCCTTACTAGAAGACAGGCATATTATAATTGATCTAGACTCTGCAGCAATTCTGACATTTTATCATAACATTATCCTTGGAAGTAACTTTGGTTTTCACAAGTATAAGGATCTGTGATGGTAATCATATTTGTCCAAGGCTGGCTTACTTAAGCAAGCCAGCCTTGGACGTTTCCCTTCATAGATGCTGGATACCACCGTAGAGCAAGATACTTCCTTGGTATTTACACTGCAGCTTACATTTCATTAAAAAATTTACTTACCAGTACTCTGCCAGAAACTCACACAACTTACACCACTCAAACGGCCTACTATTCTGCACTTTACAATTATATTTTAGCTACAGCAGTTTAACACTTAAAATTACAATTGCTACAGTATATTCCACTGCTAATACACTGTACTGTGAACCACCTACATAAAAAAATCCCTCCAAATTAATTTTTTGATCATTCACAAACTTCTAAATACAGTATACAGAATGTATTTCCCTCTATAAGGTGGCCTCAGGCACAGCAATAATTGCAAATTTGATTTTATTCTGTAACATCTGCATATGCCATATTTCGCACATTATTTTTATTTTGCAGCATTTATACTCTTTATAATACAAAGCAACTAACTTATGCAGCACTAGCATTTTATTTCTTAATGGATACTCTGCTATCAGCTGCTGTGATAACAGTAATACAAGGTTTAATCAATTTTATTTTCATAATTGATTTGGTTTTTGTTGTATTTTATGCAGTGGGATTCTATGTTATAGCAAAGAAGGGAATTATAATCAGGCTCTAGTATCTGTCCATCAGAGTTTATGACCATTAATTAACATCATTATGCAATTCACAATGACTCAAAAAGTTCACTAATGTTAGTAAAAGTGGTGGATATCATTTGCAGTATCAACAGAGTCGTTTTAGAATTATTGTGTAAAATGGGCTTTATTGCCCATTGTTCATTAGTCAGTATACTGTATACAGTATGTAGTACTGTAAATCAATATGAAAAGAACTTAAAAGGTTTCATGATGCCTAAATATTTCATATACAATACTAAGGTAGAAATTGCAAAATGTGACTTAAGATTTTCAAACATCTAAAGGTTCATTGTCACTGTCAGATTTAATTAAAAGTTGCAGGGAGTCACTTATCTGAGTTTAAGTGTCTCATATAGTGGACCAAAATGCCAAGAAGATGTGACAAGACATTGGTGCTCAAAAAAACAAAGAAAATTGCTCGGTGCACACACTAGCATATTCAGTGACTACATCATAATTACATGTGTCATCACAATTAACTTAGCAATATTCTTTTTGTCATTAAGGTAACAAAATAATGATAGTATTGTACAGTATACAGTAATTGTTTGGTACTTTGTCTTAAGGTAAGTACAGTGGACCCCCGGTTAACGATATTTTTTCACTCCAGAAGTATGTTCAGGTGCCAGTACTGACCGAATTTGTTCCCATAAGAAATATTGTGAAGTAGATTAGTCCATTTCAGACCCCCAAACATACACGTACAAACGCACTTACATAAATACACTTACATAATTGGTCACATTCGGAGGTAATCGTTATGCGGGGGTCCACTGTATTAAGAAATTTACTTACCACATTGTGGCCAAATTCCTGGTTTTGGGTCTATTGTAGGACTAAGATAAGTGACTCTGCAACTTTTCCATTTTAGAACTGACAGTAAACCTTTAGAGGTTTGAAAAGCTTATGCAACACTTCTCGCATTTCATGCAGTACTGTATTACAAGTGATTAAGAAACAGAATGTCAAAAATTATCACTTACAGTACAATACTACTGTATATATTATTGCAGTTAGAAATGTGAGGAAAATAAGTGCAGCAGTAATCTAAAGTTAAACAAGTATGATTAGTGTTTATATTAAGCATGTAAAGGTTTATGATATTAACTTTTCTTTTTTCTTCACAGGTGATAAAACATTTAAGATAAACATGTCATGCAAACCTTTATATTAGTACAGTGGAACCTCGGCTTATGAACGCCCCACCATGCAAACTTTTCAGGATACAAACTGTCGTTCGGTTGATTTTTTGCTTCTGGATACGAACGAAATTTCAGGATGCGTACTTCCCCCTCAAGGGAGGTTCCTTAAATAAATAAATAAATAAATTATTTATTTCTTTGCGAAGGTTACAATGTGTGTTTACATATGATTGGAGCAAAGAAAGCCACTATCATGCCGAGGCATTTCGGGCATACTTAAATTAATACTTATAGACTACTTAAGTCTAGACAGGTGAAAAGTAGTGGTTACCAATATTTTGCTGATGGTGGTGCCAACTACTGGCAGCCTTTTGAAGTTTCTCATTATTATTATATTGTACTATTATTATTATTATTAGTACATAGTTGGTGAGGGGCTCTTGATCTTGGGAATTGGATCTGCTTTCCAGTTCCCTAAATTAAGCCTGAATACCTTCCATCCCCTGCCCCCCACAAGTGCTTCCCCATTACAGTAATACTAATAATGCAATAACAATAATAATAATACATATAATAATATTATAATAAAAGACAGCTTTGAAAGGCCATCACTAGATGGCAGTGAATACCACAACAATGCAGGAGTGGTTATGGGCACCCCCCACTTGTCACACAATGACATATTTTATTCATTCTAGAGTATATATCAGGTTTTTATGTTATTTATATTGTTTATTATGTTATATTAGATCAACTGTGTTGATATTAGCAATATATTGAAGTGTATTTTTCCTGCCTCTGAGAGCAGGAATTCTACCGGAACAGATTAATGGCTTTTCAATTAATTTAAATGAGGAAAATTGACTCAGGATATGAACAAGGTCACAGAACGGATTAAGTTCATAAGCCGAGGTACATATTGCATAATATTGAAATCCTAGGGGGCAGAAGATCTGAAGGTTAATCACATATTGTTTGGGTTCATCTGTTTTACTTTACTTTTCTATTACTCAGTGAACTAAAATTTCACTTTTTTGCTTTTTTCCTCTCTTGCTCATTTTCTCTTGTTTTCTTCCTCATTTTGCTTCATTTTATCTTTCTACCATATCAGCAGTGTCATGAGTTTAGGCTCTGGGTGGAGTCTGGTTTTGATTAGTTTAAGTAGATATAAATTGCTTGACCAAATTTGATTGAATCTTGAAGGAGCATTAAGACTTGAGATAGCATTACTAAAATGTCCTGTCTGGTTTTAGCTTTTTGCCCACATTTTGGACAAGTATACGTACACAGTTCCCAAAATTTGTCATCTGTAATTAGGAACCTATCACATATTTCAAATTGTCGTATATATACTGTAGCGGGTTTCAGTACATTTGGTTAATTATATCCTGAAAAAATATTAATATAATTTCTAAAATTATTTCCCTAACTGTACAGTGCATCAGGTGCTGTCAGTGGCACTGTCGTGGCATTGAGTTAGTTTTGGAGAGAATGATGCAAACTTTCTTTCTCTTGTAATGCACTGTAAACTTATAAGTGTTTGTTGTTAGATATTTACTTTTAATATAAATACATGAAATCAATTCTTATTCTTATTCTTTTTAGTAATTATTACAGGAAAAGGGGTTACTAGCCCATTGTTCCTGGCATTTTAGTTGACTTTTACAACACGCATGGCTTACGGAGGAAAGATTCTTATTCCACTTCTCCATGGATATAAAAGGAAAAGTAATAAGACCAAGAACTATTAAGATAAAATCAAAGAAAACTCAGATGAGTGTGTATAAATAAACATGTACATGTATGTGTAGTG